GCCTAGAATTTAAATACTATAACAATGTGGATGAAATGGAAAATTTAGGTAGTTTTCACTGTTTCAAAGTTTTCAGAAATTTCGAAAATGGACAATGATAGTGGGGTTCACTGACACGCGGAGGAGCGGGCAAAATTATGCATACTGTCATCCACTACTTAGAACAACCCCCCCCGTTACGTTTTAGTTTTTGGAACTTTTCATTTAAAAAGATACATTTATTTCCTCAACTACTGCATCATAGCTGATCATATCGGATTGATAATTGATGAGTTGGGGAACACAGAGCAGTGTACGTTATATATACGGAGAATACACTAACGACGGATTCTGGTATCAACAGACTCGGAAAGGGGGACTGGCACAATGCTTAATCTAATTGTCCTATGTATTGTAATGTAGGCCAAAATGGTAATTTCTGCAATTTTTGTAGTATAATTATTACAAAAGAAGTATATATTTGCGAGCATATTTTTAAATGCAGATTTTTGGAGGCATCGGTCACACAAATGTTCACACATTTATACAGACACCCTGGTAATAATTTTTTTGTCTAAGAACTTTAAAATGGATGTAACCACCGAATTCTCTGCATAGAATTATTGAAGCTACTGTAGGGCATTATTCGACATACCACCGACGAAAAGTAACATACATCTGCGTCCGAGCTTTAGTAATAATAGAGATAGAACATTTCAGTGTTATATATTGATAAGCAAGACGAGGAAGAAACATTGTCTTCGGAGAAACGCCGGTCGGACGACGAAAAACGGTCTTTACGTACTACTTAAGTAAATACCTTTAATTGAAATACTCATTTCTTCCATTTTGAAGAATTTTATTGAAGGTCACGTAAGTAACTACAAACGATTATATTTATGTTTAAAATAAAACCATATAAAGTTTGCAGTTGTGACTATTGATCTGCGAAACTGTAAGAAAAGTATACAAATTTCTATGAAGTTGCGATTTCAAATATTTCTTCAGCGGTTAATAATGCTGATCTGATCGGTAACGACACCAAGTATAAATTTATATATGATACGGTATTAGACACGATAATTGACAATTTGCCCCCACATTTCATAAATCTTGCAACTGGCGACGTTTTTGACAAAGTTGCAATCCTACTAAAGATTCTCTCATAAGATATTATTCTCGTCAATTATTTTAACATTCGTTTAATTAACAAAACATTTAACATTAAATTAACATTTAATACAGTCGGTTTAGAAAGGAAGTTAGAAATAGTTCTTCTGTTATATTCTGTTATATTATATTATATAAAATAGAATCTACGCAGTATAGAGGAACTTTTGTAATGTAGCAATGAAAAACGGGGATTGTTTAGAAAACATATTCGTATTGTACTTCCCTGATATCGTAAAAGTGGATAATTCCTTTTCCTATATGAAGTATGTTACTTCCGCTAATTCGCTTCTGTAGGCAGAACCCACGTTTGTAGGTCTTTGATACCGAAAGATTGGTTTCAGGTATACCTTCTCCACATCTGTTTCTTTCTTTCTGCCTATTGACAATTCTAGTGTCTGAACCGTAAAAAGAATTTTTACCAAAACTTATATTCACTGATTGGTCTAGCGGATGTCGCGGCCCCTTGAATTTGAAACGAATATTTCATTTCTCGGAAATACTTTGCATGCCTAAAGGAATTTCAAATGTTTCTCAATTTTTTTTGATTATTTGTATCAGATAGATCAGATAGAAAACTTTAATTATTTTCTCTCAATAAAATCTGTTTTTCAAAATGAGATCTATAAGGAAATTTACATTTTTTGTAAACATAAGAATAGATAAATATAGATAAGAATGTTCGCGTATTTTTGCGTGAAATAAAGGTAATTGGAAAAACAAGATTTATTCAAAAACAGCTCCTAATTAGGAATTTTACCCTTTTGTAAGAATAGTTCTAATTGTCAAGTGCGTGAATAACGTAACATAATCAAAAGAATATATAAAAAAATTAGGAGCCATCAAAAACTAGAAGCATCAAAGCTCACTATCGAACATTATATTCAGTCGCTCATTATCGAAAAAAATTAGAATATCAAATGATACCAATATTTACTCAAAACTAAAAGTACGTCAGCATTTCAGTGAAAGTTTATTAAACTACCCAAACCATAGTCCTCGTCACAGAAAACATGAATGTTAGTATCACTACGTAAGAGAACATTCCTTGCCGGCTTCAAATCAACGTAAGGGTGTTCGATATTGCTTCACCAGCATCATTTAACAGCGCAGAACGTTCGTGCAGGCGGACGAGTTATCTTCTGGCGGTGAGGGGAAGAAGGCATGCACGTATCGACGCGTGGGTCTGAGGTCTTCCCCGCCCCGCGTCGCCCCGCCGGCTGGCCGCCCCAGAGATAAGGGGAAGGGAGGGCAGGCGGGGAGGTGTGCATCCGGTTATCGCTTTTTCCACCAATATTTGCTGAGATCAACAAGTGAGAAACGCGGTGATTCAAGACAGCCGGTAGACGCTGCAGGACTTTCGCAGAGGTCAGGAGGTCGAAGCTGGCAAGGTCGAAGATGATGTCCGTGATCGTGGGTACCATGGCCAGGACTGTCGAAATACATTTCGCGATGGTTCGTAACTCGTGAAATACACATGTCAAATTATCTATCTACTCTTACTTGCCAAATGTCATACTTGTAAACTTATTGCTTGAAAATTAAAAAAAAAATCTTTATATCCCTTTCCATTTTTTCTTTGATAATCGACAGTAAATTCGTGAAATAAAAATATGGTAAAAATACATAATTTCAGAGAATTTATTAATGAGATAATTTGCAATGTACAATGGATTGATTAATAAAAATATTAATTGATTTTTCATAGTGGTATGGAAATACGAGTAGGGATACCAAACAACAGTAGAATTGACAGCCTATCGTCATTTGACCACACCTAAATTTATTGTTCTATTGTGAAGCCCTGTTTATAATTATTTTGACTGTCTTTTTATTTTCGATTTCGAGATACTTTTACTAAGATTATTATTTTAGTAACGTATTATTAGTTTAGATTATTATTTTAGTGGAGTGTTATTATTATTTTAGTGAAAAATAATCATTTCTCATATAAAAAAGAATAATTTCTATACTGTATGAGTATGTACCTTTTGGTATGTTTTAATTTTTTGTGTCATAAAATTATTCTGTGGATTTTATTTCTGTTACATTTTTCACTCAAATACATAAGAAACATTGCATTAATAACAACTTTAAAATTTGCTACTTAGACATCAAAAGAAAAATTGAAACTGAATGTCAAGTGGCGACAATGGATGTTAACGGGCTAAGAATACGCTTACAAATTGAGAGGAAGAAAAGACGAGAGATCTAGGGAGAAACAATATAACTGTTTGAAAAATAACTCTTGGAAATAAACATTATTTTATATAAATCTCTGTACGACTTGTATCTTATTTATGTATTATACACTATTTTTAAATTTAAGTTATAACAATGCCATAAAAATTATTATTTGTTCAATTATTCACTGTACAAATTATTTTCATAACTGTATATCATAGATAATTTCAAACCAAAATCTCATTTCATGTAAAAAATGCTCTCAGGGTGAAGTTGTTCTTGCAGTGGTAATACGAAATTTACAAGAAAACGTTTCAATCGAAAAAGAATATCAGATCAAGAATTGTGCAAATACTAATAAGAAATAACAATTATTACGTCAAAGAATACAAAATGCCCTTAGCGAAATCTAAATTTGAACTAAAAAATGTAACTTCTACTACTATCTTCTACTTTCATTTAATAACCATTATCTTCTGCTTTCACCAACCACACCCTACCTTAACTTGTCTTACCTCCAATGAAACAGACAAGTTCCTCGATGATCAACTCGATACTAGACTGCCATGGGCCCCACACACAATATCTTTGATTAGCAAAGCAAAGTAACGTGCATTTCGTCAATCACTTACACCACAACACTCCCCTGTCTTTACTCCCTTCAAAATACTTTTGTGGATGGCTTATTAGACATCGTATTACAAATGCCTTTCTCAATGGGGCGAGGAGCATCGAGAAAATGATTCAATCATCAGACAAGTCTTTGTTTAGTTTGTTTCTGTATACAAATCTCCGTATCTAGAGATAAGTTTTAAGATTTAGATAAGGCATTGCGGTGCAGTAACACTGAAAAACTATGCCGTTAATTCCTTCAAAATAAAAAATACTTGACAATTTACATCATTATTCACATCTGTCCTCGTCACTTTCTTTGCTCTCTCTATCTTTCACCCGCTCCCTATTTTATCCACTCTTTAACTTGCCTGAATGCACACTCATACGTATATTTCCCGCATTCCCCTCTCTCACAAATATTCCACATGCGACTTTAAATTCCCAGTCATTGAAATTCTGTCACGCAAAACACTCAAGTTCGCTTCGCAACCCACGGCTGTTGAAATGGAGGCTCAATTATTTGCTCATCGATCACTCGAGAGCCAAGGCGCCCCAAAAAGCGGCCCTGCTCTCCCCAAGCGACCGCGCAAAGACAAAGCGAATTGGCGAGCCCTCCTCCGCGCACGCATGCGTTTATCATGGAGAGCTCGTATATTTTTTCCAGCTCACGTCCTTAGGGAGGCGCGTCTCGCGGCGGGGGTGGCGACAGTATTGACGCGGGGGCTTGTCTGGCCGAGTCAGGTAGCCATTGTCTGGCGTCGATATATCAGCGAAATTTACGCTTCGGCGTGTAGATGTTGACAGGCCCACTCTCATAAAGCAGTCGCCGGGGCGGCCGCCGCCAGGCCACAGTCCTTCCCCAACCCCGCGTTGCCGTCAGCGCCGTCCGCATTGGCTCGCTCTTGTGGTGAAAGGTCTAATTGACCCTGTCGCCGATTCTCCGATGAGCGGGACACGCTTCTGCGTCGGCGCTGCTGCTGCTGCTGCTGGTGGCGATGGCAATGGAAGCGGCAGTGGAGATGGTGGTGGTGGCGGCGGAGGTAATGGAGGCGTCAGAGGCGGTAGGTGTGGCTGCGTCGAATAGGTTGGTGTGGCTGCGTCGGTGTGGCTGCGTCGGTGTGGCTGCGTCGGTGGGGCTGCGCCGGCGTGGTGGTGTGGCGGCGTGGCAACGTGGCAGCTGTGGCAGCTGTGGCAGCGACGGCGGCGCAGTCCAGGAGGCGGCGGCTGCGACGTCGTCTCGTGAGCGACGGGCCGCGCACCGCACGCGCCATTCGGGTCGCGCGCCGCTGCCCGCTGGCGTGTTCGCGCCTGCGTCCGCATTGACAGTTATGATATCAATTTCTCGTCGGACAAGGCATATCTTTACTGTCCCTCCGCGCGTACACGGCATTATAGATGCGCGCGAGAGGCCGTGGCGCGCGTATGTTTTATCGCGAGTGCGCGATGCTCGGGGCTTAACACGACGACGTGCATTTCTCATGAAGATGCGCCTGCCGCGGTTCGCTTTCGTCAGACTTTCGACGGAACTCGTGACGAATGGGTTGCATACGAAATATCTATTTCCTAGTAATTACGAAGGGCGCGTACAGCTTTATTTGCAAACAATTGTGTATTCAGTGTTAATGAGTTGTATTCTTCGGCAGTGATGACCAGTTCTTCACCAAAGATGGTGAAGGATGTATTGAAGACATTATTAAATAATAATTACATAACTTTTCAATCTATGTATGTATGTATGTATGTATGTATGTATGTATGTATATAACACTGTACAATAGTATACAATGTTAATTACTTAGTACTTTAACACTAGTTTTAATACAATATTAACTTCACATTTCCGTTATTATTTTCCATGATTTTGATTTAATGATTCCCTATAATTACTAAATCCCTAAAATGACTTAAAATAGTCATTACAAGCCTGCAAACGATATTTTCTTTTTATATAATTATTAGAGTGAAGGAAATTTGCGTATTCGCATTCATCGTTTAAACGCTCAAATATGGTGCATATGGTTGTGTTGATTCATGGAGATTTCCCTTAAAAGAGGGATCATGTGAACAAATAGTGTAGAATAACATTTGGAATCACCTGAAATATTCAAAAGATTAAATAAAAACACGGATGAAAGATTCTCGAAAACATTTCAACCGAACAGATGTTTTACATCTCAAATGCTGGTTCTCCTAGAATAAAAATCGCACAGGAAAATTATTTAATTGATAAAACTTACCAGACACCTAGAATAGCGTAGCCATGACCCGCAACAGATACAAATGAACCACTTTCTTCCACGTTGGCCACCAAAATATCTGCTTGTCTGGAGTAATTATTCATGTTGGAACTGATGTACACCGAAACATTAAACCAGTGCTCCGTTAAGAGTGTGGCTTTTGTCTCTGAAGAACGTTCCTAAAAGAACAGTGAGAGCAAATATGCTTCTTTTCTTTCAGAGAATGGTCATCTTAAATGTTGACACATGTTATCGCCAGAAGTAGAACGATATATCATACCAAAATGTAAGCACTTCAGAATCTTCTGTCTCAAAATGAAGCGCTTTATTTCAAAATATCGTGACAATTCAACTGTCAACGCATTACCTTATTAAATATGTTTTTTAAACCGGTTTATGATGTTAACGTCTCATCACTCTAACGGTTGAATGTTGTGCAAAAGCTTTGCCTTTTCAACTGATATTTATTTTCAGTTTAATCTCTCTGCTTCTCGACTCTTAAATTCAATCTTTGGAGTGTCTTCCATTTGTTTATAAAACATCCGTTAACATTTAAAATTAATATCCATTACTAATTTTATGTTAAATACTCCACTGAAAGATCATTTCCTTTCTATTTTAATGTCTTCGGATGTGTGTGAAATGTGTCAACCGGTAATTCATGATCACTGCGAAATTGTATATTATGTAACAAGTACGCGAAAATGATCGTCGAGTTTGTCGCCCGAGCTAACGCAAGGGCAACGAAAGACGAACACATAAATCATTTCGCACACTTTTTGCGTATACTACTCTTTTAACATTCGCGCAGTGCGCGAAATATGTTTCGCGCATGCTCTCTAATGTTACTTACCCTTTCGCACACCATTAGGCAAAAATTGAAATTGTTCATGTTTTGATTATTTCCGTTATTAATATCACACTTGTCAGATGAATATTGTATCTTGTATCACTACTTTACACTTCGCTTTCATTCAAGGTTAATATTTTTTTTTAGAAAATTTTGTGTAATAATAAAAGTGTTTATTACAACAAATAAAATATTTGGTATCCATAGATACAATGACAAGTACGAATGTGGGAAATTTAGTAGGATAAAGGTTTCAAGGTTTCAATATAAATAGTATTATAATTTTACTTTACTATAACCGATTTTTCGAGAGTGTATCTGTTGTTTTATAACTACCAAATACCACACACGATTTTCAATCGTAGCAGTAGTGGTGGAAAAGGAGACAGTGAGGGTGAGGGCGAGATCTAAGACGTGGATGGCCAGGGCAAGGCGAGATCGATTGCCATGTCGAGAGCGAACACAGTGGCAATATGGACGAAGATTGCTATAGTGTAGAAGACGGCTGAGGTAATGGTTAGGGCTATCACGATGAATATGGCCATTGCGTTTACTATGTTGGTGACGTGAGCAATGGTGATGAAGATGGCGAGGGTGTGGGTAAAAAAGGAAGCCGATGTGAATGTGATGATAAGTTGATGTAAAGACTAAATATAAATTGAAATCAATAATATGCATTAATAAAATAGCTAAATCCACGAAATTCGAAGTAAGACGCTTGCGATCTCAACACAACTCGCGTCCTGTGACTTGGCAGATCAGCGGCGGAGGAAACAGCGGCGCCGCGCGCCCGCGGGCGACCACGGGAAACCCCCAGCGGGCGCGGGCGGCGACCGGGGCGCTGCCGGCGGCGCAAGCGCTAATCACAGTGCAGAGGTCCGCCCGGGGCGACTGCGGGCGCTCCCCCTGAGAGCAGCGGAGGATGAGCGACCGCCCTGGTGCGCCCCGCGCCCTCGCCCACGCCCGTCACCCCTGCCCCCGCCTTGGCCCTCACCCTCGCTCTTGCACTCGCCCTTGTCCTCGGAACTTGCCCTTGCCATCGTCATCACTATTGCTCACGCCTCCAACATTGTTATCGCCATTGCCATATTCATCATGGTAGCCCTCACCGTTGCCTTCGCCGGCATCTACGGAATCGTCATCTTCGCCGCCCTTGCTCTCGTATGCGCTCTCGACATCACAATCGCTCTTGCCTTGCCTTCGCCCTTCTCGCTCGTGATCTTGCCCTCACCTTCGCTATTGCCCTAGTCACCTCCTTTTCCACCTCTCCTCCTACGATCATAAATGTGGAATTCCCGCGACTATGTGGCTTACCTTCATTGTCATATTTGGTAGTGTTATAAAATAACAGATACACTCTCGAAAAGTCGGTTGGAGTGAAGTAAAATTATAATACTATTTATACTGAAACATTGAAACCTACATTCTACTAATATTTTAATCACGAATTAACCAAATTATCTAAAACACAGTACACTAGGGCTATTGACCAATATTTTCAATAGCGCATTTATTTAGGAAATTAAATATTTGCAATGTGTCAAATAAATCATATTAATGAAATCAAATTTCATATACCTGATTGACATTCAAGATTCGTTTCCATGCCGACAATGCTTTACATTTTTCATCTTTGTTAGGATATTTTAGTTTTAAGAGGATATTATTTAAGTTATTAGGCGAAAGGATATTACGGAGATCCAAAGAATTATCCAAGTATTCTTGTAGAACACATATACGAGATATCCGTATGTACTAGTGATCATTTTATTTCAAGTGTATGGGCGGGTAAAGATAATTAAGTGAGCGATAGAGACAGAGAACCTTAAAGGAAGTGATAGAATGCCGCAGGCTAATTCATTAAACGTCAGCCACATAAGATAGCTCGCCAGCTATAATCGACGACCCAAGAGAAATCGTCCACCTTGAAGATTATTGAAAGGTGTTCGCGAGGGAGCGAAAAGCGTCGCAGAGCGGTGAGGAAGTAACGCACGCACTGACAAGCCTTCACATCTTCGCCATCGCTATCGCGTTCACCAACGTCCCCTTCTTTTCCCCCATAAACTCCCTCACCCCCGTCCTCGACGCTTCCGTTACCAAGGAAGGGCAACGTCGGGAGCTGTCTAAGTCACTTAAGTGTGAATCAGCCATAACTGGCTGTCCATGTTCCAAACAGGAAGAGCGGGCGATCTATTCTAGGGGAAGGGACTTTACCATTCCTTTTACGTAAGATCAACTAAGTAATATTCTGTTTTCGCTGAATTTCAGTTATTTTATGCCCAAACCAGGGGCCTGACAGATTTCGTCCTTAAGACACGTGGCTGTTCGTTCCAGCACATGTTGCAAGAAGGTCTTGGTCCCAGAGAGCTCCTCCCTCTCTTCTCCCCTAACGCTGCGTCATTCACTTGTCCAGCAGCAGCGCACCTCCGCAGCGGCTGAGCATAACCACCTCCGCGTCCAGCGCCACCGCCGCAGCCCCCCCCCCCACGCGGTGTCGCCTCCGCTTTTATTGACACGCTGCGGCCGACCGAGGGCGTCCATAATTTACGCGGCGCAGGCGACCGCAGGGAGGGAGGGGCGGGGCGGGGGCAGCGACGGGGACTCTCCCCGAGTACCAGGTGGGCGCCCGCCACGGCAATCCGCCCCGCCGCCATCACGCCGTCATCCATCATTCAACCTGCGCCAGCGCCCCTCGCCCCCCTCGCCCTGCTCCCAAGGCATCGCACTCCTCCCGTTCCACGCAACTCGCCGACCCGCAATCCCGACCCCTTTCCTCGTCTTGACGCCCAGTTTTCCCACCCCTTCCCGGGCGGGTTACGAGCTGGTTGTCCGTTGTGGTATCCATGCCCTGTCCCTCGTCTCCCCATCACCTCAACCAGGTCACCTCGTCACCCCTGCCCGGTCATCTACTCCCTGTCGCACTGGCCTTTCATCCCAGACCGTCATCCGATCCTTTCATTCCATCCTGTTACTCCTCCCTGTCACCCCGTTATGACACCCTTCCCTGCCACCCGCTCCGTTCCTCCTTGCTCTGACCCTTCCAACGTATCATCTGCGACTTGTTACCCCATAATATCTCCTTACTCTGTCACTCCGTCTGGTCACCCCAGCACGATTTTTGCCCTGAAGCCCCACCAAGGCGCTGGACCGACGTCGCTTCTCGCCATTTGACACTGCACTTCCAGATCGTGCCGTCCCTAGATGCCCCGGTCCATCCTGACGCGATCCAGTCCTGTCCTGCCCACACCAGCCTCGTTTTATCCGATTTCGTTTCATCCAGCCCCGTCATGTCATATCTCCCCATCACACCTCGCCCCACAGCCCTGTTCCTACGTCGTCGCCACTTTGCCGCAACATCCCACCCGTCTGTGCCGTCTCTCTCGTGAGCCATTGTTCTCCCCCCCTCTCTCTCTCACTCACTCACTCACTCTCACTCACTCTCACTCTCTCACTCACTCTCACTCTCTCACTCACTCTCACTCTCTCACTCACTCTCACTCTCTCACTCACTCGCTCTCTCTCACTCACTCTCACTCACTCTCACTCTCACTCACTCACTCTCACTCACTCTCACTCACTCACTCTCACTCACTCACTCTCACTCACTCACTCTCACTCACTCACTCTCACGCTCACTCACTCACTCACTCTCACTTACTCACTATCTCACTCACTCACTCACTATCTCACTCTTTCATTCTCTCACTCTCTTTCTCTCTCTTCACTTCACACAGACACTACCTACCACGGCCCGTGTTGGCCGGCGTCGCCCGTGTGGGCCCGAGCACGTGGCGCGAGGGGGCGGCGTGGGGTCCGTGGTTGGGGGAGCCGCGCCGCAGAAGGGATCTTTTACGGCGGTGCGGGGTTGCGCAGGGCTATGGCCCCACTCTGACGAGTGGGCGATTCCAAGGGGGAACCATTTGTCCCAGGCCTCGTGATTGAAGGGGATCAAAGGTTCACGGAAACTACGGATGTTTTCGTAATTTTTGAAATGTGATACTGCTGCAAATACGAGATCGTAAGCACCCTATGGAAGAAAACTTTTTAAGATAGACATGTAAAATATCAGCAACATTGGATGCCTGAATTCTATAAAAATAATGAGCTTATCCATTACTGGAAATGTATCAAGTTTAGCTCTCATGGGTAAACCACAAATTTTCAGACCAGATGCAATTTTTTTGGACATGAGAACGTTGTTTCTGGAAGAGCTCGCAATTCATAAATCAGTTTGAGATCTCTAAAGATTATAGGATTGGTCATTGTGGGTAGGGAAACAATTAGTTGTGCAAGCACAACAATGACCCATCCCGTGAATAAATTTTAATTTATTGTGCATTGATGGTAGTAATACAAGACGGTGTAAAGTTATTTCAAATTTCTAGACTGAGAGTTGTGTAGCAAATATTAACTTCCTTCCGAGTTTCATTTTTGGTTCATATTCCTACTCAAAACAGTGATGCCTAAAGTGGTACACTGAATAAACTCTAATTGAGAAAGAGCTGGTTTACAAGTATTAGAATAAGTTCAGAAGTCTTCAACAATCTAATGTCTTGGCTATGATTCCTGCTTATTTAATTACGAAAATTGACCCCTCTGCACGTTTATAGGTTTTCAATTTTTTTTCAAACCTTTCCCCATTTGGGACCACTTTCCGCCATTTTTCACCGTTTTTTCCTCTCAGAAAACCAAGTGTATGCAAGCAGAACACACTTTAAAATATTCATTCATTCGGTTATATTATGTTTCAATGAAGTCAGACATATTAAAAGTAATAATTATTTGCTGTATTGTACTTAGAGTTTGAATGTAATTGTATTTCAAAATTTTAGGTCGAACACTATTGAGTAAGTAAGCACATGAAAATAAAATATATGCAACAACGGTACAAAACACGTGCATTTAAGACCCAACTAATCTCTCCCAAAGAGAAACATTTTCACAGCTCCAATCCAAGGGGAGTCATTTTTCTCGATCATGGAAGCAACAAGGACTCCGCGTCGAACTCATTTCGCTGAGCAAGCAGCAGGGCGACACCACGTCCGCGGCTTCCGGAATAGAAAATCCAACATGGCTGAAACGCTGATAATGCCGTCCGCTCTCGTCGCCGCCCGCATCGGCGCGCCGCCGCGTGGAGCAGCGCTCCTAGCGGCCGCAATTGACGCTTGATTACACCGCGGCGCCGTATGCATTTCATATGACTCTCATTAAGAGACCAATCACTACGCGGGACAGCCGTCGCCCTCCCCCTTCCCCACCCCTCCCCGGCACTGGTTTAGAGGAACGCTGGACCCACGCGAGTGAAAAACAACAAAGGGAATAAATAAGTAAATAAACAAATTACAAACAAAAACTTTCAGTGCAACTCCGGAAGCGCATGACTTCAGAAATAGATGAGGTCATAATTGCTCTAAAATACAGAGCCGAAAGTGGAAACTTGTGGAAAAATGTTTTGGATTTGAATGGCGCTTACTCACAGATCCTTGAATTATAAACGATGAAAAGAAAAAAAAACAAGTTCATAAAGCAACGTATTGTAAAAGGTAATGCTGCTGAAGTGTAAAATTGTATACTGTACTTCATTCCGTATAACCACTGTAAAATAGAAACGATGCTAAAATTTATTACATTTACACTCAAAATGAACGGTTAGAAAAATAATTTCACATTAATTTATTACTACTTGTCGAATAATATAACTACATATTGATAGTTCAGGCATGTATGTGTAAATAATAGTAATGGGCATTTCAAGTATTACAAGGTAATGAAATGTCAAATACAGTTGTACAGTTCCTGTGCGGCCTACACCACAACGTTTAAAAGAATCATTGATTCTAGTTCTTGAAATCACGTCGAAAATACGCAGAGCTACTCCCTCTTCTTCGTAATGGGAAATAATCTACTTTTTCGTCAAACAATGTTATACAGCATTTTAAATACTATCATTTCATGTTCTTGTAGTTTTCATTAGAATATTACAGACTTTTTATTGGGAAGTCTTCCTTAAGTCACAGACAGTTACTCTCATTTTCTGTCGCATAGGACTCTTGTTCACAGCCGCCCAAAACACTACTCGTTGATATTTTAAACCCCGTAAATGCGGTTTGCGACCGGAATTAAGTCCTCGTGTAGCGCTCCGTTGGGGTCTGGTGTGAGGCACGACGCGGGATAATCAATCACAAACAATGCTTCTGATATCTTGGTTAATGTAATGCGATTTACACTGAAAATTTTGTTTTCATGCTTGATCAATATTTTACTACATTTACAGGGAACATA